CACAGACACGGCTGATGAATGCATGAACTATTAACAGATTCATATCACACAGCGAGCGCCTCTAAAACAACAGACAGAGGCACTTTTTAACAGAGCCTGCTAACTAAATTACATCACTGTGTTTCCACGGAAACGACCCACAGCTCAGGATAATGTGATTTCCACACTGAGCTGTGATAAGAACAATATTCTTTATTAATCATATAAACTGCAGTCATGTGAACTCACACCTGTAAGCTGCTGAAACGCACACCTGGGCCGGGCCCGTGATGTCACATGTTACCATGGTGACGGTGGAGGTTACAGGTGTGTGTTTGTACATAGTTGGGGTGTCCAAATTCATGGGCTGCTTCCTCCTGAGGATTTGAAGACCGATTACTTCACATCGACGCGACGAAGGCTGTCCAAATTCGTACACTCCTCCGAATGCAGCCGACAAATGCGTCCTCCTTTTCCCTGAATTTGAAGGATGGGTCAGGTGTGTCCTTCGTGGCCCACCATATCCCAGAATTCATAGCGCGGCCCAGCCAAACTCCAGTTTCCAACAATGGTGGCCGCTGCTAAGTTTTAATATTACTCTTTTTACTCTTTCTGGGTCACAAAATAAACTTTTAACATATTTGCAGGTGAGAAAGTAGCTGTGTAAACATCAAATATCTGCTCAGTTTATCAAGATATCGCATATTTGCAAAAGTGCTTAGACGTTTTCGGAGACGTCTGCTACCCACCAGCTCGATAGCGAGCCGGGAGCTCGAGGGTCACTGAAGCCGCCGAGAACGGCACAACTCCGGCACGTCATTTTCAGATTACCACGGACTTTTGCTACTCAGGTTAAAAGTAATATATATAAGTCACTTAGACAACCTAAAAATGTTATTGTTGGGCTTTTTTCAGTATTTTATTTGTTCGTGAGTAAATTGGTTTGGCCGAGATTAAAGTTGTTAGATTATATTAAATAAAACTTTATTAATCCCTCGGGTGGTTTTCACACAGCTGAATAAATGTCAAACAGAAAACTGACTAAACAGAAGTGTTAGACGGTCGAGAATTTACGCCAGTGTCCTGTTATATTTTGTCCCACGTAGACTTTGAAGGCCGGGTCCTCAGGAGGATGCAGCCTATGAATTTGGACACCTCTAATGACTCTGACTACATGAATTTAAACGTGCACAGTTCCACTGACAGGGTCTTTGTCTGTGAACGACAGCACGATGAAAACCGTCTGCAGGCTGGGACTGGTTGTGCCGTCATGTTGGTTTAATGTAATGTAAGGAAAACAGGGGCCTGGGGCCCCTGAAAACAGACTGCAGCCGAGGCCCTGAAGCACCCACCTACATTAGAGCCTCAGTTCCACTGGGATCTACTGGACTCGACTCGGTTTTTAGGGTCGTCTATCAGGTCACAGTTCCTGGTACCAGGTACTTTTTCTGTACCTACTGGGCGGGGCCAAAAATGTGACATCAACAGATTGCATGACACCAATTGGCTTGTCAGTGACATCAGCGGTTGAGTCGTGACTCCAACACAGGAATCAAACCCGCCATTTTAAAATCCCACCGCGAGCGAAACGACCGCACACAAACCATCACCGTGGTCCAATGACAGCGTGCACACGTCTACCATTGTTGAACACATCAAGTCCTCCATTGTTGTGTTTGTGTCACACACATGACATCACAGGACTCGTGCCGTGTTGCTATAACGACCCTGACGTTGGATTTTTAAATAGTGACATGAACAGACTTTCAAAGAAGTGACTGAGGTGGGACAAAAACCAACCGTAACCAAGTAAAGTCAAGTAGAACCGAGTAGAGTACAGTAGAGCAGGTGCTAGTTAGCTAGCTAGCTTAGGTGGTGGGTTCATGGAGGTCCTGATCCCTTCACTCTGGTCCTTCTCAGGCTCCAGCTGTGTTAAAGACCTCCATCAGTGTGACATGGGTGGAGGTTAGGTGGAAGTTGCAGATCAGTGGGTGAAGATGCTTCAGCTCTCTGAGCTGTCAGGATACAGATGTTGTGTATCCAGCTGTGTCAACAGGAAACTGCGAGTGTTTTATTAAGGTTTAACAAAAAGAGGGTTGTTTATTTGGCCGATGGGAAAAAACCACAAAACCTCAGTGACCTCATGTGACCTGAAGCAACACAAACAAATGACCCAACACTGAACGACTTAAATATACAGCAGGGTAATGAGGGAAGTGGAAACAGCTGACACAAATGAACATCACGCCACATGGGAAGCAGAGCTAAACACACTGAACATGGAACATCAGTTTTCCTGTAGACTCCTGGTGGAGCACAGGTCTGCAACAACACCACGCCAACGGACTCTGTTCTGGGCCGCTCTCTGCAGCTGGGTCCACGTCATTGTGGTGGCCTTCGACATGGACATGGGACTTTCAAAATAAAACAGGAAACATGGAGAGACATGAACTCGGACACGAAAGCTTGACACAAGAGAGAGGGAGCGAGAGAGGGACATGGATGATAACACAAACTGGACTAAAACTCAACTAAGTGCTAACTAATAATAACAACACAAGAACATATTTCCAAGAAATCACAAACCCCGCCCCCTGACAGGGAGGCCATGTTGGCTCAGTGTTGGTGTGATGAGCTCCAAATACAATACAGCTGATAAATTTACCAGCCGCTGCCTGTGGAGCTTTGATCAAGCCATCAAACAACCTGCAGTTATTTTTATCTGCTTTAAAGCTTTTATTAGCTCCTATTTTTATTACAGTGTGCAGACTAAAGGACGTCCAAGCCTCAGACACGTTTTCTAACACACAGTTTACTGTCAGAGAAGCTGCTCCAGCTGTTTCCTGTTTGGATCATCTGAACGTGTCACAAACAGAGACGCTGTTACAGTGTATCTGTCTCTGCTCCAGCTGTTAGCAGCTGTTTCAGTAACCGCTTTGCATTTCATAAAGAATGACTGAAAACTAACAGCTCACCTGTACACACACCTGCAGGAGCTCTGACCCCTGTTTACAGCTGTGTGTGTGTGTTGATGGTCAGAGCTGTGTGTAGGCGGGTCTAGGATCAGGTGACCCTGAACTCTCCCTCACATCTGCAGCACATGGCCGCCCTTCCCTGAGCCTGGCCCTTTCTGGAGGTGTTTGGCTCAGTAAAGCAGCCTGATGGAGGCTGAGGTGTGTATTGAATACATCAGGTGTAGCTAGCACAGCGCCTGCTGACAGCTTTAAATGGCACTGATGGAGCTGCACATCTGTGGCTGTCAGTAATGATGTCATGAGAATCATGATGTCAGGTGTGCTTCAGGACATGAGGACAGAGGACATGCTGGGCGGTGTGTGTGTGTCCTCCTGTGATAACCTGTGTAAGCGTGAGGTAGAGTGTGTGTACAGCGTGAACAGCTGGCATGGACTGATAGGCTCCGCCCCCAGCTACCCTCACCTGGACAAACGAAGATGATGATGGATGAGGTGTGAAGGGTTTGGTCACATGACTCAGTGAGGTGTGTGTTTAATGAGTGGAGAGAGCGCCGCAGCAGGAAGTGATGTAATAACCGTGTCTCCAAGCTCTCATGAGTGCTTGGAGCAGATGATATGAGAGTTGGTTGCTATAGCTACGGCTACAGTTGCCCAGGTAACCGGGCCCCTTGAGGGCTCAACAGCTGTTACCATGGAGTTGCCGTGGCGATGAGCAGAGATATTCTGGGATGTGATTTAACTCTTCATGTGTTTATTTTTTTTTACAGATGAACGGGTCAGAGGGAGAGCTGGAGTACGAGGAGATCACACTGGAGAGGGTGAGCGCACACACACACACACACACA